AATCAGATCAGACACTGTAAAAAACGTGGCTTCAGTTTGACACTCGAGCCCCTCCTCCTTCGAAAGTCTCTCTTTCGAGGGCTCATAAAAGGCAGGATTAAAAGCGAAAACCAGCAGCAGCTGGACAGGCCACGGCTGGACTTCCTGTTAACCTCTTTTCTTGGACTGACTCAAACAAGGGCTGCTCGACTCATGCTCTCCCACTTGCTCCTAATAACATGGAGACTAGCCATCTGAAATGGCCATCACCAGTCCATTTTATTAATAAAAGTATTCTTGAAACAAATCATCACCAACACTCTGGAGCACACCATCAGTATCTTGAAGCCCAATCACCACTCTGAAGATACCAAGTCCAGATGAATTCCTCTCACTGGGCTCAATTCTGTCCTCTCCTCGCCACCTCTCTAGTCCAAGCTACTACCGTGCTATTCTGGACAATGGTGACAGTCTCCTAACTGGTCTCTTTGCCCCTGCCCCTGCCCCTCCAACCTGTGCTCTGACAAGCCAAATTGAGCAGGCCTCACCCCTGCTGAAGCCCTTCAGAGGCTCCCCACAACACAAGTGCAACCCACACTCCTCACCAGGCCCTGGCGACCACACGACCAGCCCTACAGGCCTACGTTCACTTCCTCAGCACCCAGCTCTTTCCACATTCTCCCTCACTCAGCCTAGAACCTTCTTCCTCTCTCCCTACCCTCCTGCCCAATCCCTGCCACTCCTGGCCTAGCTAACTCCTCCTCATCCTTCAGATACCAGCCTGAATGTCACTTGCACATAGAGCCTATGTCTAGTGCACTCTCATGGCACCCTGTGCTGTCCCTCACAGCACTGACCAAAGGGCAAAGTGACCAACTGCAGGCTTATTTATTCAGTATCTGTCTCCCCTGCTGAGCTGAGGTCCATAGGGACAGCGACTGTGTCTGTTCACCCTGTGCTAGGCTCATTGCCTGGCACATAGTAGGTACACAAGAAATGAATAAAACTGTCATGGTTATCATTAAACAAGATACTTGTCTGTAAAGCACCCAGCACAGACAGCCTGGAACACGGGGCTCTCGATAACCAGCAGCTCCAACAGGAGCATAGTGCATGTGTAGAGAAAGAGTATCAGTTCACTCAAAGCTGCAGTGGTGGCAAAGAACAGCCTTCTAAGCTCTCCAGGAAGACAAGAACTGCCTGGAGTCTCCAATCTCCAACAGCTTGGGAGCACAGGGAACCATCACAGAGCTGTTAATGCTGTTGTTCCCAAGCAAAGACCTGTCCAGGGAAGACAGACCTCTGAGGAGACAGAACCTGCCCTGACAAAAGTTTCCCTGGAACACTGGAGGGGCTACCCCAAAGGGAAAAAGCCAGTGCCTCCTTGGCCCAGGATCAGGTGCTCTTTTAAACCTAGTGGCCTCTTTCAGAATGAAAGAGGGCTGCCTGCTGTTACATGGAATGACTCCTGAAGCAGCAGCCTGACACATGTTCCAGCTCAGCAATCCAGGCTGGCTGTGGGCTCTGTGCACTCTTCCCTGTCTCAGTCCTTGCACCTGCTGAGGGGGCCTGTCGCTCCCCGTGGTGCCTGCTACCTGGACATCCACTGGCTCCTTCTCAGAGATGACTGTGTACACACTTATGCCTCTGAGCAAACCGTGACAACACGTAACACTGACCCGCAGTGGAAGGCCAGTGTGTTACTTATCTAGTGCTGCTATAACAGAAATACCAAAAGTAATGCCTTTAACAAACAGAAATTTGTTTTCTCACAGTTTATGAGGCTAGAAGTCTGAATTCAGAGCACAAGCTCTAGGGAAAGACATTCTCTTTCTGTCAGCTCTGGAGGAAGAAGATCCTTGTCTCTTCAGCTTCTGCTTCCTGGTTCCTTGGAAATCTCCATGTGTCTCGGCATCTGTCTTACCCCATTTCTTTCTCTGCTTGCTTTTTAAATCTCTTTTTATACCTCAAAAGAGACTGACTCACAGTCAGTCAGACTGATACACCCTACACTAATCCTGCCTCATTAACATAACAAAGACAACTCATTCCCAAATGGGATTATAACCACAAGCGCAGGGATTAGAATTTACAACACAGATTTTTGGGGGTCATAATTCAATCCATAACAGCCAGCAAGCCTGGAGACATCAAACCTCAAACATCTCCTGTGAAGTTAACACTAAAGTCTCAAAACCTGGACCCAGGCTAGGCCACTTCTCACCATCACCATCCACACTACTCATCTACACAACCCAACCAGCCTTCATCTCAACCAAGGGCCTCTTGGAAACTGGAAGCAACTGGCAGAAAAGACTTTAACTGCGATCCTGCTCCATCCCACTAGCAAGCCAATATGGGCAGGCCTCACCCCTGCTTAAACCATTCACAGGCTCCCCATAACACTAGCTCAACCAAAAGATACACAAGCAGCTTTCAGTTCAACTGCTTATGAATGATGATACTTTCAGTTTTGGAGAATGTAAAAGAAAAAAGTGATCACAGCCAAGTGGAAAGCACTAAAGAGCATTCTGATCTTTCAGCTCCAACACTGGGATGAAAGTAGCAGGCCCACCATGAGCATTCCTGAGAGGGATGCCCTCCACATCCCCCTCATTTATGTCGTGTGCTAGGTCTACCCAGCCATTTAGCCAGCCCAGGATCCTGAGAAAGTCAAGGGCCTCCATCCTTCCCAGGGAGAAGCCCTATCTAGATGTATCTGATTCCTACTTTCCACCTTTAGGAATAATGGGAGAGATGATCAGATATGGCAGGAGAAAAGCTCTCAGGGGCTGGCAGAGTGAAAACAAAAACAACTGTAATCTACTGAACACTTAGGCCTTTTTCTTTTGCCAAAAAGAGATGTAGAATAGTGAGGATACAAAAATGGTGCCCACTTTTCTGATGTGTTTAGTGTGAGGACCAAGATACCCCATCCACTGTATCCAAGCCCCTTCTACTCTCCACAGGCCCACCTTCCACGCCTGGGCAGGTCCAACTTTACAAGGGCCAAAAATGTTATTTTCCTACAATTTTATATTAGCAATGTCAAAGCACCTGACAAGCAGTTGGCCTCAGACCAGCCCAGAGAGCTCAAAAGCCCCATCTAATGAACAAGGGAAACAGACTAGGCCAGCTCCACATGGCCTCACCTCAAAGGGGACTCAGGCCGAAGCTGAACCCCTCCCACCTTTTCTGCTCCACCCTATGGATCTCAAACTCAAAGAGCCATGCAAAAACAGTCTTTACTAAATAAAGAGGAGCAGATGGAAACCAGAATACCAAGCTCAGCACATGGCCACAGGTCAAATCCCCAGACTACCTGAAAGCCAGGAGCGAGAGCTTCTCGAAGCAGGGGCGTTTACTTTTATTTATTTTGTTTTTAATCTTACTTACATTGTTAAAACAGATTAATACATTCACAAAGAAAGAAAATTCAAGTTAAAAAAGCAAAAAATTTTCTTCCCAGTCACCCTGCCCCTTCCCAAGGGACAGCCAATATTATAAATTTTTCTGTAGCTTTCTAAAGATGTTCTACACATGCATAAGCAGACACAGGTATGTTCGTTTCTCTCTTTTTCTGCACATTTGGTAGCGTATTACACACTGCTCTATACCTTGCATTTTTCACTTAAAATACATCCTACAGATTACTCCAAATCAGAACCTAAAGAGCCTCTTTGTTCTTTTTATGGCTATATAGTATTGCCTTGTATAGATAAACAAAAATGTATTATTTTAACCAGTCTTCAGGGATGTTTTAACTGCCATCCAATAATTACTTTTGTGTACTAAACCTAGAAACACCTCTTTTCTCCATCACCAAAGCAAAGCAAAAGTTCAAAGAGCACATTTAGAGAAAAAAAAAAAAAAAAAGATCAAGAATCAGTTTACTGTTGATAGGAAATTATTTTTCTAAGCTCCTTGTTTATTGAGAGGCAGAGCTATGGAAACTCCAGACACACCTACTCAGCCAAGGCCAGAAGCTTGTTTAACAAAGACCATGACCATATGCTACATGAGGAGGTCAAACATGCCACACACATACTAATTAATAACAAAAGATCAGTTTGTATTCATATCGAAGCAAAAAAAAAGTCAGGATTACAGATCCTGACAATTAATTGAATCCTAAGTGATTTTATATTTCTAGTATTTGAAATCAGTCCATTACAAAAAGTCTAAGGTTGAAATTAAATCTAAATTAGAATGTGTAAGGTTTAAGTGTCACTCCCTCTTTGGAGAAAGCCAGTGGCCTTCCTTGTACCATAGGCACAAAGAGTGGGGGACCAGGGCAAAAACAGGGACTTTGCCTGTCCCATGATGGTGTCAGAGCAGCTTATACTATGTCACTTCTGCCACCCAAGGAACAAATGGGCTTGGGACCACCTTCTGGAACTCACCAGCTCATGATTAAGAAGCTTCTGTCCCTAGCCAGGGCTGGGCAGGAGCCGTTGGGCAGAAAGCAGCAGAAAGAAAGCGTATCTGGGTGGTACAGGAGGCCCATCTGCAGGGCCCAGAGCATTCCACTAATCTGAGGCTGCTGACTGTCAAACCCAAGTCTTGCTCACATCCTCTTATTTATTGAGAAATCGCCTCAGTCATGTTCCATGTGGGATGTCGAGTAAAGACTTTGATCTTAAACATGGTGAAGTAACAAGGTGCCAGGGTTGGCAGTAGCCTCCCTCCCAGTACCTGCCTGAGTCCCAGGCTGGTTAGCAAAGGCCAATGAGACTGAGGGCTACTGAGGCGTATCCCCACTGGGAGCAAGCTCAGGTCACTTGGTTGTGACTGCAAACAGTTCAAATTCCATGAATGACAATCACTTGCCAATTAATTTTTGGAATGGAAGCCCACACCATTCCGGCTCGACGGCCACCTTTCAGGATCCTCCACCCAATGGTGTGGCTTGGGGCAGTGGCCAGCAAATAGTCTTCTCCAGCCTCTTAGCTGCCACCATGACTCTCATCACAAAATGGATCAGAAGAGCAGAACAAATGTTCTCTTAACCAATGACTCACCAGGAAGTCTGTTCATGTTGACGCCTTGAGCTGAGAGTCCTATTCCCATGTACCTTCAAAAAAGCACACACACACAAAATGTTTGGTTAGCAAAGGATTATGCATCTCCCTTCTGAAATATTTCTTGGTTAAAAAACAGGAAAAGCAATAAATGTGGAGACTCTTTTAGCATATTAGTGGTTTTTGGAGAGCCTTTACATTTTGATTTTCTAATGAAAAAACCTTAATGCCTTAAGCAGCCGGAGAAACGGGAGGTAGTGCCTGGAACCATGAACCACTGGTTTCAGCAGAAAGTCTCCTGAAGACACTGCTTCCAGTTCCTTGGCTTTCTGGCTCCAGGTAAGGCAGCAGAACCTATTCTTAAGAAGTACCTAAAGGAAGCAGCTCAATCCTAGGTAGTGCTTGGCAGAGCAATGCAAGACCACACCCACAGGGACAAGCCACTCTGCACCAAGGACCAGGACATGGAAAAGGTACAGTCAGGCTGGATGTGCACGAGATCAAGACCCAAAGCTTCTTCTTTGGGTGATGCAGAACTCATAACTGTCCCCCCATACATTCACCACTGGCTTCCCAGACGATCTAAAGCTAGGTCTCTTCCAAAGCTGGGATGTGGTGCTGTATGAGGCCTGTAAGACCCCTCCCTCCTCCCACCCTAGGTACCAAAAGAACTAAGCCACTCATAGTAATGTGAGGCCCTGTGCTGCAACAACTGTGTCAAAGATGTCTTAGAGGCACTCACAAGGGGGAAGGAGAGGAAAGGAAATGAATATTATTTTTAGTCTAAATGTTTGTAGTATACAAGGAAATAGTGAGGTATTTCCCCAAGAACTTAGAAATAAGAGAAACATGTCATTGCCTTCTAAGAGTAAAATAGTAAAAACCCACATATCACACTGATATTAACCACATATAGTGTCAACAGGTAGTTGAGTCACCCAGAATACTCAAAACACCAAACAAGAGAGCTGAGGTGTAACCTCAAGAAGGTGACATCTGAGTGTAATGCCACTTAAGTGTGAGCCTGGCCCACAGTAATTGACTGTCTAGAGTAAGACCCAGGTCAGTGAGTGTAAGTGACCATGTACAGAAGAGAAAAGGGCCAGGCATGGAGAGTATTGTTCAGGGAGCACAAGACCCTGAATCTGCATTCTACTCACCATGGCCTGGATGGAATGAACCACTGACACTACACCCACCCCTGCTCCAACTGTGGACTCTCCAACCCATCTTTTTACAATTAAATCAATGCCAGAGAGTGTCCTAGAGATACCAGACAGAAGCAAGACCCACTGTCCCCTGTGAGGTTGATCAGTGGGGGCCAGTCCCTTGTACCCAACAGCTCTGGTCACGCTGAAGCCTCAACCCTGAGCAGGGGTAAACAGGCAGCCAGTCATTCTTCTCATGACTATTGTCCCCGTACAGTGGGAGGTCCTTCCCCTCAAAGGGCAACACCCACACAGGGAACCTGAAGTTCTGTCAGGTGAAGTACCCGCTCACTGTTTGCTGAGAAGGCTGAGGTCACTGTTTACCCTGTCTTATTTCATGGATGTGTAGCAAATCTCTGAAAACCAGGTTCAGATTCTTAAAAGATAATAATGTCAATCCAAAGACCAGAGAACTCAGAATGAATGGTTTCAGCCTTGCTTTCCCAGTCCTAGCTTTCCTGTGATGAAATACCATGGACAACAACAATCAAGCTTAAGATAAAACATTTCCCTAAGAAAGGGGCATACACACCCTAAAACTGTCAATAACTCGGCACCAAATACTTATTTTGAATCAGTCATGTTGTCGTCTTCATCTAGATTTTTAAAATTGCCACCAAAACTGGTGAGGCACAAGTCAGGAACTCAATCCTGCACAACTTCTCAGGGAACAGGTTTTGTTGTGCCAGCTCTATCTGTGCCCGTATCTCCCTGGACCTTGGAGCAGCAACAAATTATATCACCAGCACTCGCTATTACCGGGGGTCACATGCACCTCAGTGACAAGGCTTCCACAAGAGACCAGTTAGGCTGCCCAGGGTATGGAGGGAGAAAAGGGACTTGCATTAGCTGAGTGCCAGGTAAGGCCGCGTGCTCGTCTGGGCTCTTTACACACGTTGTTCCTTCACAGAGAATGTTTCCAGAAGAAGAGGGTAGGAGTCACAGATCAAGGACACTTTGTGTACAGCAGAGCCACATCTCTGTACTTACATTTTATACCCACTTCTAACAAGCTTAGGAGTCCTAAAAGGTTGCTGGTTTGATTTCACCCGAGATTCCTTGGAAGAAAGGTCTGGTGATCTACTTCTGAAAAATCAGCCATTGGAAACCCTACGGAGCACAGTTCTATTCTGACATACGTGGGGTCACCATGAGTCAGAACCAACTTGACAGCAACTGGTTCTAACAAGCTTAGCTATCTGATTTCCCAGCCCTTTGCAGATTAGAAGCTGCAAATTAGGGTAGGGCCAAGGCAGGCCCACTATCAGAAGTCAGGAGAGCAAGTTGAGAGCCTCCTAGCCACAAAGGACCTAAAAGAAACAAGGATCCTCCTTATCCCTTTCTGAAATTTTATAGAATTTTTCCACTATGTAAAAAAATATCAAAAACCTTGGAAAACAAGAAAAAAATCCCACCATCTCGTTATAACCAGTAGTATTAACAATTTTATAATTGTTTCATTAAGGATGTGAGCTTTGAGCTTTTGAGAGCTATAAAAAAGTCATTACTACTTAACATTTGAATTACGGTGTTGGTGAAAAATACTGAATATACCATGGACTGCTAGAAGAACAAACAACTCTGTCTTGGAAGAAGTACAGCCAGAATGCTCCTTAGAAGCGAGGATGGCAAGACTTTGTCTCATGTACTTTGGACGTGTTATCTGGAGATCCAGTCCCTGGGGAAGGACATCATGCTTGGTAGAGGGTCAGCGAAAAAGAGGAAAGACCCTTGATGAGATGGACTGATACAATGGCTGCAAAAATGGGCTCAAACACAGCATAGCAACAATTGTGAGGATGAAGCAGGACTGGGCAGTGTTTTGTTATGTTGTACACAGGGTTGCTATGAGTTGGAACCAACTCCACAGCACCTAACCTAACAACATAATCACTCTACTTTTTTTTTTTTTTTAACTTTTTTATTGTACTTTAGATGAAGGTTTACAGACAAATAGTTTCTCATTAAACAGTACACATATTGTTTTATGACAATGGTTAACAACCCCACAACATGTCAACACTGTCCCTTCTCAACCTTGGGTTCCCTATTACCAGCTTTCCTGTCCCCTCCTGCCTTCTAATCCTTGTCCCTGGGCTGTTGTGCCCCATCAGTCTCGTTTTGTTTTATGGGGCTGTCTAATCTTTGGCTGAAGGGTGAACCTCAGGAGTGACTTCATTACTGAGCTAAAGGGTGTCTGGGGGCCACACTCTCGCGGTTTCTCCTGTCTCTGTCAGGCCAGTAAGTCAGGTCTTTTTTTTGTTAGAATTTTGTTCTACATTTTTCTCCAGCTCTGTCTGGGACCTCTACTTCCCCCCGGCCCCTTATCATTACCATATAAAGTAAGTATTCCCCAAACTTCTACATGGTCTTCAGAATCTTTACTTCAAATGTTGTTGTTGTTGTTAGGTGCCATCGAGTCAATTTCAACTCAAAAGCAATTAAAGAGCCCTGGTGGTTCAACAGTTAAGCATTCAGCTGCTAACCGAAAGGTTGGAAGTTAGAACCCACCCATCAGCTCCGTGGGAGAAAGACCAGGAGATCTGCTCCCGTAAAGATTACAGCCTAGGAAGTCCTATGGGGCAATTCTACTGTTACGTGGGGTTGTTATGAGTAGAAATAGATTCAAGGACATCTAACAACAACAAGTGATTACATGGGGTTGTCTTAAGGTGACCATTTCCAAGTGGTTGTACATTTACCTTCCAATTGTTTCCTATTGTAAGTAATTCTGCAAGGAATTTTTCCACATATATTTCCCCATCTTGAACTACTTCTTCCCTCCCCCAGCAAGATACATGCACTCATGCACCTCTTTCCTAACATTATCAGGGTCTCCCACACCATGGTGGCCCTGTCCCTGTCAGTGTCCCATCTACAGTAAATGTCCCTTTGTCCTCTGTCAGCACCACTGGTTTTTTTTTTTTTTTTTTTTTTGGGAGAGGGAAGAGGCAGTCTTTGTCACTCAAATAAAGAATCAGGCAGGGATGGAAGACTCTGACCAACCCACCTTCCTCTGAAACCAGCTACCCCATCATACCGGGCAGGAACCAGGAAAAGCCAGCAACCAACACATGGCCCTGAGAACTTGGCCCACAGGGGTCAGGGGACTGGAAAAGGGTAGGGGAGACGGAGGGGAAGGAAGGGAAAAAAGGAGAAAGGAAAAAGAACAGCACTTCAAAGAAGGAGTTCCATGATTCAAAGGAACTTGTCCTCTGCTTTGTTTTGGGACACAGAGTTGCATCCTTAAAAGGTCTAAGACGTGGACCAATATGGCCCGGAGTGAGACAGAATAGCTCAGCCCTTTCTGAGGACACCCAAACTGCCAGCCACCTCCTGCCAGAAAGGGCCAGCATCAAGGATCATTGGACCTAAGCTGCATAAGCCCACTGGCAGGTTTCCATTAGAGTAAAGCCTGCACATTTACCCAAAAAACAGCAGCCCAAATAATTGGCTTTCTGACTTTACACAGTAGAGGCTGCCAAAAGCCAGTCTCCATGCCCTCAATGCCTAGGTTGAACAAGTAGTAAACAGCCCCAACTGTCCTGTAGTCAGTCACCAACTCAATGCGCACAAGTGGGATTCCCTGCCTTGGATGCCAGCCCACTCATCCAGCCCTGTTCAGAGAATCCTGGGCCTCTGCCCAACACCACACATGGTCCCATCTCTGACACACAGGTTTCCTGACATATAGATGGGAAAAGACTCTGCTTCCCAGGGACAGCACAAGCACTAACTTTGGGGGAAGTTTTGGGTGATACATGAAGGCGAAGTGACTGGAGGGCACCAGGAGACAAGGACCTCTGAACCCCAAAGCACAAACACGTTTTAACCCTCCTGAAGCT